CTTTGTATTTCTGACGGATATATCTAAAGGTATGGAAGTATACCGTACAAGTATATTTGTTTTCTATTTATTTCAATTTCTTTTCACGATTTATTTATCCCTTTAATTTTTTTTACGACATTCCATATCTGAAGCCTTTGCTTGTAAATCAATGTTATACTTTTTAAATAATATATATCAAACGTTTCCTTTGAAATAAACAAATGAATCACGTGCAATTCATATTATTTTCTTCTATTAAGTTAAATAAATACTACACAGAGACATAGATTACAGGCATAGGCTCAGAAAGATCAGTTTGCTCTTGTTTGTAACTTTCGATTACATTGTCAACCGAGGTGATCACAGTGTTAATGCTAAACTCGTAATTTATTTCAAATATAAAAAAGATACTTGAAATCATAACCTAATCTTCAACGGTGATACGTTCCAAGTTCAAGGTTCGTAGAATTGTGATAGGGCAGTCTTGACTCTGAAACGGAAATTACATATGAGACTTCTGTTATACAAAAAGATACAACAAACGACAATAATTTAGCACGTAATGCTCATTTTTACTTCTCAAATAGTTGAGTGTCTTTTGTGTGACGTAATTGTTGCAAGATACGATAAATTCCTAATTCCCGCAGACGCGCTTGCCGCTGCGCTGCACCGGGTTCCTCTCTCCAGACTAGGTTGCATACACAAAAAATAGCAGCAACTTGCAGTTTCACGTTGCTATGCATCTAAATAAAATGTACACATAAAAAAATATCAACATATAATTGGTGGTCCCTATTCAAGATATAATTATTAAATTAATAGATAGGACTTGAGGAAATGCGAATACTTAATCGATTTAATACATGTTTGAAACTTGTGGTATTCAAAGTTGTTATTTTTTACTATCGTAGATAAAATAAGTATAAGTTACGCGATTTGTTTTTTCAATCTTTAAGCTTGTTTATTATCCTATCTATTAATCGTTTAGAAATACTCAATGAAATACTTGTAAATGTACGAACCATATAATCCATGAGTTTCTTAAGCACGTCGTCATTAGCCATAATATGATCTCTAGCTCGATCGCCATCAGCTACATTTGCTAAAATGCAAAGTGCTTGCTCTTTAACATCCGCCGGATGTTCTGGGTCTTCCAGTACTAGAATGACCGCTTGCATAACGTGCGTGGCGTGCTCGCCCATTATACGATCTATGTGAGCTTTAGTGGAAAGCAAATTTCGTAATAGACCCAGAGTTTTCATCAGGACACCTAACTCAGGATCGGCCAAGAGACGAAAAATCTGATCTGTGCCCAAGCATGAGAGTATTTGCGATTTTACACGTTGCTCCGCTTGAAAGGCCACGTTCATTAGAGCCCAAATGCCGTTCAGTCGGAGTGCCGATTCAGGCCGTTTAGTGAGAGAACACAATAATTCTACTCCGCCGGACTCAAGAATTGGCTCTTTGCTCGGACTAAACTCCAACAGTAAATTACATAAAGTACTCGAGGCAACAGTTAATAAATCACCTTCACCTTCGCCTCTACCTATAGTACAATAATGACAATGTTAATAGTAACTCATATAGTTGGCGATTGAATACTAATAATAACAGCTAATTACTAAGCACTGATCTCTTTATTCTTGTTCTTTTTTTTTTGAAAAATAATCTTACAATGCAGAGAGAAAAGAATAGGGATGTATTTATCATTTCTATTTACACGCATGAGAAAACAGTCGCCCTGTTTTAAATTCATGTTTATATATAATTCTTTTATATCTATTGTATCTTCTATTATATCTATTGTAAATATCTTTCTTACGACATACTAATATGGCCAACACAAGCGTAAAAGGTTGCGAACTTTTCTTGATGCGTGCATTTTTAATTGAGCTACAAATCTATTCTTGTCTTATATAGAATAAAAAAAGAATAACTCACATTGTACATTAATAACCCTCTTTTCGATATTGCATCTTTTTCTTTTTGATTAAGATGTTAATTCGAAATTTCAAGCTAAATATATGTATTATTTTTTTCGTATCTTACATGCAATATATATGCATGCAACATACATTATACGTTTCTCAGTGTTTATTGTAGCGTATCTCTGTAATGCTTATTGTAAATGTATTATCATATTTTACCCTCCAACCCCTTGTCCGCTCCATGTAACAACTGCATAAGTGGCCTCCACACTGCATGATCCTGAAATGTAGTACGAAGCTGTTGCACACTCCTCGAAAGGGAATGCAAACATCTAACCGCGGCTAAACGAACACGGGATCCACCAGGATCTTGAAGACCAGAGACAACTTGTTCCATAAGACTTTCTGTTTCAATAATACGCTTTCGGATATCTTCGTCATTCGCTCCGAGAGACGCAAATGCCCTGAACGCAGCTTGTCGCATATCTTGCGTTAGCGTTGCATCTTGGACCTCAACAAAAAGTATTACGTACAACTTTTATTTAAACACTATTTTAATACAACCTAATGGAGTTTTTTTAAATCAATTTTATCATACTTTGTAGATATTCAATATATTTAATGTAACTTCTGCTTACTTGCGGATGTGGTCTTAGCAATTCCGCCAGTGTCGGTATCAAGTGATTACTAATGGAAGCTAAACGCTGTAGATCTGTATCAACTTCGGTTAGATACGCAAGTGTTTCGGCCGCGGCGACTCTCTCGCGTGGCGGTCGGTCTCGATGACATAAACGTACGAGGCAGGGTAACGTGCGATACACTACTCGCGGATCGGTGGATGGCAACGCCCCGGCCCTGTGCATATACGCGATACATCTCGCTGCTTCGAGTTGTATCAATGAACTCTTCTCACGTCCCATTAATTGACCTAATGCGACAGGTACCAATCTACCATGGACAGTATTACTAGTGCTGGCTGACGCTACCATAGCCGACACCATGTGATTCTGGTAACACATATTCGCTAAGCAGGCTAGAGCTGGTAATTGGACATCAGACAAGGGGGAATCCAGTTGCATCGCTAGTGTTTCTACCGCACCGCCTTTGGACAAAGCGTTCTGTTCCTCTGTCGTCTAACAAACAATTTGCAATTAGTTCCTTCTTATGGCACAGATATATTTATATATTTTATATATTTTATATATTTTTATTAGAGTTTCAGACCTCTCTTTACCTTACATGCCGTAGTTAAAATTGTCGCGACACAGACTTGACAGGTGACCGACCGACTTGCTAGAGACAACAACCGTGGTACTAACGCGGGATCCTGATAAATCGAGTGGACCGGCGCTGCCGTATGCTGGAATACCGTGCGCAGACATCGCAAACAGGCCTCGTGCAACAAATCTAGGACCTTTATCTTGCTGTCTGCGACAATGTCGGGAGTTGGAGAGGAGATCAAGACTTGTAGAAGCAGTGGAACTACACCTAAATCTATAAGCGCCAGTACATGCTGATCCGTGCCCTTGGCTAAGGAACCCAATGTTACAGCCGATTCTAATCTTATACGATCGCTGATGGTACCGGACGTATCGCCAAGCAATTGCAAGAGACGAGGCACCACACCTTGAGCTATAACCGAACCCTTTTGCCTGTTGCTCCCGATCACTGAATTCTTGAGACATCTGAGAAAGATCAGATTCATGAAACATTAATACAGTTTTTTATTTAAAAAGTAAATGTAATAAAGCCCATTTTGCATCCCTAATGTAGATTAATTATTATTTTGGTTTAATGTATCGTTTATCTTTTTCTAATTAGAACTGGAAGAAGATAAAAAGTGACTTATAAACCGAGATTAAAATTTTAATTAATTTACATTGGTAGAAATAAACATAAGTAGAGAAAACGTCGTTGGAAACTTTAAATCTATTTTTTTTATAGCCAAATTAGTGTACATTCTTTGTATTTAAAATGAAAGAATGAACAAATATATGTTTGATAAAAACGAGAAAGGAAGCTTCAGTGCAATCGAATGAAGTAATAAAGAATAAACCTTTTCAGTCATATGAAGTATTATCCTTAAGGTTAAGAATAATTTTTTTAACACTCACATAATCGCTTCCAGGCATTTCTGCGCGTCCGGAGAGTACAGCTCATCGATGTAGCTCCTGGAACTCTCGATGTCCTGCAAGACCGTGAGAAAACCGTAATGTAATTATTGGCGTTACTAGCAACGGTGGGATTCGTCAGCTCTATCAATGCATCAAACGGCCCTTTACCGGAGGTCGCATACGAAACTAATCGGACATCGAACTCACCATGTACGGCTGCATCACCGACACCATCTTCGCTCGTCTGCGTTCTCACATAAATATCCTGTAAATCGTTCCGCTCGGTCGGGCTTCCTGGCACAACGATTACCACGAGGAACCGTCAGATTCAGTTTGCGCACTATATACGTTCTATATGAAACGTTCGCGATTCGGTTGTACGTTGCGTTTCTCGTGTTCTAAAATAAGCTCGACTTGTTGCCAATGATGCCAACATTGTGGAGAGTTTTTCTTCTAGGAAAAAGTCTTCCTACCTCCTATAACTACCTCCTATAACTACTTCTAATTCGATTCTCTTCAACATTCTTTCCTTTTATAATAAAATGAGGATAAATCGATTATCGAAATAATAATTTATAATTAAATATATAATTTGCGGATTAATGTACAATTAACTTGAGAATTAAATTTTTTAAATCTACACATAAAGCAAATAGAATTTTGTATTCTTAATGTATTCAAATATATGTAGAATATAATAGACACTTTCAAACAAAACACTCCTTAATTCTGATGAGTTTTAGAACGCATTGGCATTTTAAAAGTTCGAACACTATACATACTCCTGTAGATTTGTGCAATTACGTCATGTTAAATAAATTTTGTATGTGTATGTGTATGTATGTCAAATATATATGCATAATATATATGCATATATATATGTATCATTATATTTGATCAATATTTATTTATTTAAGCATCAATTTTTTAATTTGCATTAATTGAAATTGATATATTATGTATTATTTAATTTAAATCGAAATTCTAACCATGAGAATTCCGATATAAACCTATTACACTCATTAGAACATTTTCTTTTGAACGTTTTGAAATTTTCAAAAACTCTCATGTATATTTCAGCTAATACTTCCGGCAAAATTGTCACATCAGAGTGACATGCAATAAATTTCTGCAATAAATACCTCAATCATGTAGATAACTATTTTGTTTATCCGGTTAAGAATGATTTGATTAAGTATATTTAATTTAAAACATAAAAAAAAAGATATGAATGAAGATTTAAAAAAAAATAATAGAGTATTAAAATAATACAATTTATTATATAAAAACAGAAATCTTCAATTTTTTATTTTCCTGCTTTATGATATCTTTTTCAATCATAAATAAAAATCATAATTATACATTTTAATGTGCGATAGTTTTATTTATTCTAAAATAATAA